GGTTTAGGGTTTAGGGCCCTATATAGCAGGTACCTGGAGGGTTAGGGTTATATACTTGAATGCAACTCGGCAGTAGAGTCATTGGAACTTATGACTTTTCGGCTTTCCAGGCTCTCTCCCAATGCAATACCCTGAACAACCTGCCTAGCCTGAACTCTAAACCCTAAACCGTAAACCCTAAACCCTAAACCCTACACCCTAAACCCTAAACCCTACACCCTACACCCTAAACCCTGAACCCTACACCCTACAACCTAAACCCTGAACCCTAAACCCTAAACCGGCTGTAGGGGAGACTCACCGGCCTGGTCTCGAGTCTCCAGGCTCAACAGCTCAGTCGAGCTCCATAGCTTCGGGGTTTAGGGTTTAGGGTTTAGAGTTTAGGGTTTAGGGTTTAGGGTTTAGGGTTTAGGGTTTAGGGTTTAGGGTTTAGGGTTTGCTCGAGGCTCAACAGCTCAGTCGAGCTCCATAGCTTCGCCTACCCTGCCCTCATCGCTGCAGCAAGAAGCGCCGACGAAGCCATTGCTGCTAGTCCTTAGTAGCCCAGTAGGTAGACTTTAAACTTTTTGGTATATTAAACCCCCTACTAAAAGAAAAATATAAACTTTTTTGGGCCAGGGTACTGGGCTTAAAGGAGTCTGTCATCCAAGGATGCCGGTTACGATAATGGGGGGGGGTTGTTCGATGTTACGGGGCTCTTGTTGACTGGCGTGAACTTGTGTGGAAAATTTGCGATGACATATATGATGCACTCTTGGGGTCAGCATCATGAGTATGGATCCCTAACCGGGCCTTCGGGGCTCTAGTACCCTACATAGTAGGTACCTGGGGGGTTTAGGGGATGATACTGGTGGAGCAGGCTTCTCACACACACGGTTGGCTCCCGCGGAGTTCCTAGATCCTATCCCTCAGGTTTAGAGTAGTTTAGAGTTGAGGGTTCAGCCTACTGAATTCTGGGTTCAGAGTCTTAGATGCTGACATGGGGCTTTTGCGGATTTGTAAGGTTAATGTAGGAACCTGATGAAGAAACCCCGGCCCTATAACCCCAAAATATTAGGGTTCATATAAAGAACCCTCATAAGGGCCCGGGGTGTCGTGATCAGCTTCCTATTTTACCACTATGATTGGGGTAGGTGGGCATAGAGCTGCAGACTGGAGAGAGCGCACAACACTCACGGAGATCCCCTCGGCTTCACCGTTTGGGAGTTCAGTTTGGAGTTCATCTGGGTTTAGGGTTTAGGGTTTAGGGTTTAGGTTCAATGGTACTTGCACAAAAGCACCTCGAACCTTGGAATGTCTGTAACCAGGGGCACGTTACTTCGTCTCTGTATTCGGTCCCTTGCTTTCCGAAACTCCTTGGAACCTTCAACTCCGATAAATCCTAATGTAGGGGCCTTAACGATTAGAATAGGGTTTTGGGGGTTCTTTATTATAGTTATAGTAGAATGTACCCCAAACCCTATTCTAATTATTAAGACCGTTATATTAATTACAGCTGCAACTGTGGCATGGGTGACTTGGGCAGCAGCAGAGACCCTGTAGGACGAATGAACCCAAAAAAGGTTTAAGGTTCATATATCATATAGGGATTCATAGTATCAGAGCATAGGGCCCCTACTTTTAAGGGTCATTTCGTCCTTAAGGACCGCGACTAAACGCTACAAATCGAGCCGAGGCCGTTTGAAGTCCGAGCACTACGAAGCTTTCGACCCGCAAACCCTCTGAACCCCCTCTCTAAAACTCAGGTCTAACATAGGGGCCCTAGTTATTACCTATACTATACTGAGGGTCCCTTGTTACAATTCTAGTATAGTAGGCCCCCAAACCCCATTCTAATTATTAAGGCCCCTATATTGTGCCTATAGACACTGGGCTGTAATTCATGCTTCAGATTTTGAGTATGGTAATTCAACCAAAGTACTTATGGACCCAACTGTACCGTATCCACTGGTCACTAGTCACTTATTCCCATGAACACCCACGCAATTTTGGGTTCCTACATCCGAGACTGTAGACAGCCTTTACCTTTTGCCCCCCGAGCTCTTTCAGATCAAATCTGAGGAGCTCGCTTCTGATTTATTCTCACGACGCTCGGCATTGGGTCTCGGCAAACTCCCTAAAGATCCAAGTGCCTAATAATTTTATACACTTCTGAAGATTAACCTACAAAACTACTATATGTAACCCAAGTACATGATCATTAGGTCATTTGGACCCTTAGGGACTGTACAAGGATTGTTGTTTAGGATGGTTTGAGGTTTTGGTGGCTCGGAGTTTCGGGTCTAGGTTCACAAGAGGGCGGAGGCAAATTCAGCTCGAAGCCCTCACAGCTCAAATCTAGCCCGCCTCCACCCTCCAAGAAACGAAGTGCAGAGCCCAAAACCCAAAAATTCAACCCTAAGCCCTAAACTTTAAACCCTAAACCCGAAACCCTAAACCTTCAACCCTAAGCCTTAAACGCTAAACCCTAAACCATACACCCTAAACCCACTTTTTAAGTCCCAACTCCAAGGCCGGTTCGGGAGGTGAACCGGGGTTCATCTTCTAGCAGGCTCTTTGGGTTTTGGGGTATATCATGGAAGACACAAGATGATTTCACAAAGAGCCCCCAACAAAGTATAGGTAACTATTAAGGCCTCTACATTGGATATGGCACTAACCCTCAACCGTAACAAATAGGATGGCAGGAACGAGCGGCTCATGCCACGTCAAACTGGGGCAGGGGCTTGCAGTTGTCCTTCCCGGAGAACCCAATACCCCTTAATTAAGGAAGATACCTTAAATCATAATCTTAAGGCCCCTATAATTTAGGGTATATTCCTTGGTTAAGGGGTATTGGGCTCTCTGGGTTGTATGACAGTGTACCGCTTCCTATAGAGTTTCGGAATTACATATGCTTAAACCTATGTATAGTCCCTAAGCGTCGTGTCGAAATGCTCCTAGCCATAAGGCGCAATCCCTCAACCCTCAAATCTAACGGTTTTGTTGGTGGCTTTGGGTCTTGGATTCAGGTCGCGTGGAGCCCGACATTGTCATTGAAACAGCCCTTTTGGCCCGATGTGCGCCACTTCGAAGCAGTTCAAGTCTGCAGAACCTTAACCCTAAGGGTCCAAGTACCTCATAATTATATACTCTTCTGAAGGCTAACCTACAAAACTACTATCCGCAACCCAAGTAGATGATTCTTAGGTCCTTTGGACCCTTAGGGTTAAGCCACAAAGCCCTCAACCTGCAAGCCCCCGGGGAGAACTGTGTCTTGTAATCCTTCGATCTAAAAACCTGGCGAGTTTTCGGGCATCAGGATCAGGATCTCGAAGCAGGGTTTAGGGTTTAGGGCTTAGGGTTAAGGGCATGGGGGAATATAGCTTTCCGTGCACATACGGAAATGCCGCAATCGCAGATTCGAATAAAATGGTCAGTTTGGACCATTGGAGCGACATAGTCATGGGCTATAATAGGCTCAGGGCCTTAAGAAAGAAGGCCAATAGCAGTGCATTTACGGCTGAAATACTGGAATTAAGTGGATGAGCACATGGCCCGTGTAAGTACTGCTTGACTTGCTCTGCAATCTTCAGCCCGAGCCCCGAAAGCTTACGCCAGCAAAACCTGCAGCCCGAAAGACTTAACCGCCAAGAAGATAGCTTTGGCGAATCCAAGGAGAGACGGGATCAACAAGGCATCTGGGCAGTCCAGAATGGTTTAGGGTTTAGGGTTTAGGGGTTTAGGGTTTAGGGTTTCTAGAGCTATGAGCACATTTTGGAGCTCAGACTCCCGCTAACCCGGAACCCACGAAACCCCTGACCCCCGGACCCTGAATCTTACCTTAGGGTTTAGGGTTTAGGGTTTAGGTTCACACATGACCAAACAGCACCACGTTCTTGTAGCTGACAAGGTTGCTGACATGTGCGGAAGTTCAGGTTGTGTTGCCATCGGTCTTAGGCCATGGAGGTTACCTTCAAGATTGCCGGGGTAGTTATACTGATCTGAGCTTCAGCGGCCGTTTCTCAGATGGCAGTGCCTTCTGCTCTATATCCTTTCTCGAGGTGACGTAGCAGGAATACTACTCCTAGAGTACTTGAGACTTCAAGCGCCTTCATAAAGCGATCCCTACTCGAATCCTTCTTGAAAGAGGCGCTCATCCATTAAGCTACATCAATGCTGGATGAGACGAAAGCGATCGAAAGACCCGATACAGAACAGAAGAACAGCACTGTCCTGCGACCCCCACAACCGTAGATCATGCCCCAGCTCACAACCCTGAACCTTCCCCAGAGAATCCAATACCCCTTAATTAAGGAATATACCTTAAATTATAGGGGCCTTAATATTATGATTTAAGGTATATTCCTTAATTAAGGGGTATTGGGTTCTCTGGGTCCAGGACCTTCATCTCCACACATCCCGGCTAAACCTTCAGCCGTAAATGTCAATAAACCCTGAGCCCTTAACACCGCTGAACAAGAGCCACCCTTATGAACACTCACTAGAGCTACACTTACCCAAGTACCGGATTACTGGGTTAACCCTAAACCCTCAACCCTAAACCCTAAACCCTAAACCCTACATAACCCTAAACCCCTAAACCCTAAACCCGTTACGTACCTACTATGTCGGCACAGGGAGCCCCGAAGGATCCCAGAGACTCCAATACCCTTTAATTAAGGAATATACTTTAAATTATAGTAGGATTCCTAAAATGATTTAAAGCATATTCCTTAATTAATTGGTATCCCAGACCCCCAAAAGGATCTAAAAAATAGATCCCCTAAGGGAGTTCCTATAAAGTACCCTTTAGCAGTTAGGGTCCCAAATTCGGGGTTCTACTTCTTAGATCCTCCCGGGGGTTTGGACTCTCGCAGGAGGTCGTCCGCCGCGAGGCCACACTTGGGAGCTTTGCAGCGCAGCTCCTGAGGGCACTTCCTTAAGGACGAAATGAGCCCTGAAAGGATGTAAGGTTCATATACCATATAGGGTTTAGGGTTTATGGTTTCAGGTTCATATACCATATAGGGATTCATAGTATGAGGGTATAGGGCTACTTTTAAGGGTGATTTCGTCTTTAAGGATCGGACCTGAGTGGGCGCTCAGGCTTTCCCCGGCGAAAAAGACGTACGATATGGGCCCTGAATCATTACCACTACTATTTTTTTTGGTGGGGGTGCTTATTATATTTACATAGTAGAATATACCCCCAAACCCCATTCTAATTCTTAAGGCCCGGCTATTTCTACTGCGGCTCCTGAGACAGCTGCTCTTCCACCACCAGCGCAACTAACACCCTAAACCCTAAACCCTAAACCCTAAACCCTAAACCCTGATGAGGATTGCCATTATCATTTTAGGGCCGCAGGCCCTGAGTTGATCCGGGCATCGCGCTTTCGGGGAGTACGGAGTCGGGCCCCGAGGTCTCGCCTCGCACTGATCAGAACTTGTTTAGGGTTTAGGGTTTTTCATACTAGTGTCTGATCATTTAGAAGCCACAAGACTCGCTGTGCTAGTATTATTCCATATTCGCTCAGACGACTCTAATTTCTAATTGGCTTTGAATGTTTAAGGCCCGTACATTCTTCAGGTCCAGGACAGTCGGTGGGAGAGTCTCAACTCTCGGGTTGCGCTAAATCAAAGATGGCTCTTGTGAATAGTAGGCAGCGCTGTGGAAGCTTCAAACAATGGGAGCGCAGCAAAGGCACTAGATGGTAGGATGGGTTTGGGGAAGAGGTGTGAGGGTCCTAGAGTCCTTAGTTTTGCCTAGGCCTCCAGTTTCTGAAGAAGTGGGTTACCGGCCATATAGTATGTAACCTAGGCCTTCAGTTTCTTAAGAAGTGGGGTATGTAACCCGGTGGCTGCCGTAGCCCATGATTTAGGTCACCTCAGCCTTAGGGTTTGAGAAGCCAGCCAGAACGTGGAGAGCTTCTGCTTTTTCAAAGGCTCCATGTACCTTTATAGTAGATACTTAGGCGGCCTTAAAGGGGTCCCTATACAGGTACTTTAAGGCCTAAGTATCTACTATATGGGTACATGGAGCCTTATGGTTCTTTGAGCTCTGCCAACCATGGCCGTCTTCCCAAACGTGGCGCAGCAGCTCGCCGGCCCGCCGGAACCCTCGGTCGAGGAGGCTTGGCTCCTTGCTTTCTTGACTGTTTGGGGAAGATCATGCATCACAATTAATTCTTCAAAGTACTACAACTATCTAAATGTCGGCGGATCATCCATGATTTCGTTCAGTCGGTCACCCCGGGGTCGTCATTACAACTTGATGAAAAGAAAGATGGTACCCTGTTGTCGGGTCAGGAGAGTTGCTGGGAATCTGCAGAAGCCCCTATGCAGAAGACGGGAAGATCCTAACCAAGAGTATTTTCCACGGATATCGCACATGGTGTTGCCGATGTGGAGCTCAAGGAGACATTCATGAGTACAGAGATCATGCATACTGCATACATCCTAAGCCCCTAAACCCTAAACCCTAAACCCTAAACCCTAAACCCTAAACCCTAAACCCTAAACCCTAATACGGGGGTAGCTACAAACTCTGGAAGCCTTCTGGGCCGAAGGAGCAAAGCCCAAATCGACCTTAAACGCCCTAAACCCTAAACCCCAAACCGTGTTTTTCGGGTTTAGGGTTTAGGGATTTAGGAGTTTAGGGTTTAGGGTTTAGGGGTTTAGGAGTTTAGGGTTTAGGGTTTAGGGGTTTAGGAGTTTAGGGTTTAGGGTTTTTAACCCTTATGCCCGAATGCACCAAGACCCGGACCTTGACCCTGCAAGCCCCTTCACCGTCTAGAAGCCCGAAGCTCTCACCTTCTAAACCTGGGCTTTGGAGCACCATACTTTAAGGGTCCAAGTACCTAATAATCATATACTCTTCTGAATACTAACCTACAAAACTACTATCCGTAACCCAAGTACATGATTCTTAGGTCCTTTGGACCCTCAGGGATACTTTGATGCCTTTTTGGGGACCTGTTCCTTAAAGGAACCATTATGAAATACAAGTCTATACTTCTTTCTCCCTGGTTACTTCAAAGCCCAGAAACTTCCCAGAGGGTCCAAAGCACCTAATAAACAATAGACCTTAAAACATAATATTAGAATTTCGGCCCCTATAGTTTAAGGTATGTTCCTTTTTTGGGGTGTATTGGGTTCTCTGGGTATCATGAGAATCCTTATGGGTCCAGAGGACCTAATGATCATGTACTTGGGGTTACGAATAGTAGTTTTGTAGGTTAGTATTCAGAAGAGTATATGATTATTAGGTACTTGGGAAACCTTCAACCTAAACCCTAAGCCTTGATTGATGTGTGTGTGTGTGTGTCACTTAGCTGAGGGCCGTAAAGGCCAGCGCTCGGAGTGGTGTGTCAAAGGGCAATCAGCTTCAAGCAAAAACCCCTACATCCTACCCTTTAAGCACTACCCGTAGTCTCCATTGTAGTTCCTGTTCGGGGATACCTTATGAAATCCTTAATATATAATTGGTTAAACAAAAAAACAACTACAATGGAGACTATAGGCAAAGCTATAATGAGGAGCCCTAAACAGGTCATTTGGGGCCCAGGTAAGCTCTGAACCCTGACGGAGGTCCGAGTCGTGCTGGCACCCGTCTTGGAGGATTGGCAGCGCCGGCCGTGGGGATCCCCAGTTGATCCTTCAGGGTCGCAAGGTTTAGGGTTTAGGGTTAAGGGTTTAGGGTTTAGGGTTTAGGGTTTAATATAGGGGCCTAAAAATTACTTATGCTCTGTTGGGGTTCCTTATGATAATCAAGTAGTATAATATACCCCCAAAACCCTATTCGGACTATTAAGGCCCCTACATTATAGGCCTTCTTTTTGATTCGTGTTTTGTCTTTTGCGTTCGGTGGATGTTTACGGGACCGGGTTGCGGCTGAGATGCTGGTAAATCCTAAGCCGTAGAGACGGCTAACCCCAACGTTGGTTGAGGGTTTTGAAGTTCTTGCTGTCGGATTTGGGCTTGGGAATCCTGTAAATGCAACTGTTGTTCCTAAACCCTAAACCCTAAACCCTAAACCCCTAGGGTTTAGGGTTTAGTGGGGGGGTTGGCGCGGGTTGCGATTTTTCATGAGCCCCAAGTCGACGGATAAACGTAAGTCAAAAGCCCACAGGCTCCATGTACCTTTATAGTATATACTTAGGCCTCAAAGGGGTCCCGATATAGGTACTTTAGGCCTAAGTATCTACTATATCGGTACATGGAGCCTTAGGGAAGGTTGGTTGACATTTCCGGCTTTGGTTTGCGTTTGTGGGTAGTTCTTGAATTCGGTTCCCTTTTTTAGATCCCCAATATAGTATGGCACCCTCATAACAAGGCCCCTAAAAGGCACCTTAGTTTAGAGAACTACCCATGTGTCAAATGTTCGTGGCTTCGGGTTCCTAGTCTTCGTGGCTCACAGGGCAGATGTAGACAAATGTCCTGCACTCAGTCATCAGCCCAAACTCCAGCCGTCCTAAGATGACCTGGAGGTTACAGTAAGAGTGGCGTTGTAACTTTTAGGGCTTAGAGTTTTCGATTACTGAGCTTGACCTTGACCCCAAAACCTCTTATTTTCAGAACGTGTACCTAGCAGCAGAGTAGGTAACCTTTAACCTTTTTGGGGTATTATGGTCCTCATAATATAATCTGAAAGCTTAACCCTGATAGCTCCCCCAAAGAATATTGGATACTTGTATAAAAGGAAGTCATAACAAGGAGCCCCCTCCCCCCCCAAAAAAAAAACAAGAACACAACAGGGTCCTCAGGATTCAGGTGGACCCTGCACCCCCACCCCACACCCTAAACCCTACTCTAAACCCTCCACCCCGAACCTTAGATTGTTGGGCTTCTTAGCGGTTTAGGGTTTATAGGGTTTACGGGGCCTTAGATCTTACACCGCCCCCCTAAACCCTAAACCCTAAACCCTAAACGCAGAGCCCTGAGCCCGACATCGAACTATCCATGCACCTTCCACCAGGCGCATCGCCACAGCCGAGCTGAGAAGGCTTCCTTCGGAGGCAAAGCACGCTGCGAATCCCCGCTATGTATACATCTACATACATGCATAGCAAAAAAATAAACAAATTACTATATATATATATACACACACATACTGTATATATATATATATACCTAATCTATAATTTATATATACCAGCAAGTGCGTTGGAGTACTTTTTTCCATTCCGAAGAAAAAAACTAGAATATCTTAATTCGGCTTACATTCTACGCTGGACTACTTTTTTAGGTTCCAGGGTTTGGCTTACTTTTCCCGCTGGACGGTTTTTTCGGCTTCCGGTCATTCAGAGTCCATTCTAGATTCCAGGGTCATTTTGGTATTTCAGATTCCGGGGTCATTTCGGTATTTTCAGATTCCAGGGTCCTTTCGGCATTTCAGATTCTTTTGTGCCATTTCGGTGTGTATATATGACTAAATTAGGAAGTACGTTGTATATGTATTTGGGGGGTCCATAATCGCTCAGGTGCCTCTGCAATCTGCTGCATTGTTTCAGCTTCGGCTGCAGAGTGAAGTGGCGAACCCAAGCCCAACACTAGAAAGTGTATATATATATATATATGTATGCATGTATGTAGCCTTGATACAGACCCCTTATAACGTTGACATAGCCATTCTGGAGCCTGCGGAAGCCCAGAACCCCTTAGAAGCCTTTACAAATTGAAGCCTCCCAGAACCATGCCATGTAAACTCTATAGTACTCCAGATTCTATGTAAAGCCTTTTCAGCAAGGTTGTGCTCCTTTGTCGGGAGGGGAAACTCAAGTGTTATATGGAAATGTTACAATATTAGTACATTACCATGGTGTCGCATTCCTGATTGACTGTAGTTAAGAAGCATTCACCCATAAGCCCGGGGCCACCTTCCTAGAGTAATTTTAGTAGGACAGACTTAGATAGCAAAGCCGCACCGAAGCCTAATTCATCG